AGTAAGCCAACCTTCTTCTTTGTCTTTTTGGCGTCGTGTGCCGTTTCTTTAATTTTTTCATCGATTTGGATTGTTTTTTTCATCAGCTCCGCAATTTGCTGTTGTTGTTTTGCCATATTTTGGTTTGAAGCAGCCATTAATTGGTTAAGACCATCGAGCCTTTCGTTTAAAGGGCGGAGCAGCTCACTTAATGTGGAGAAAACATCTCCTTCGTCAACTCTCGGACTCTGACCCCCTCGTGTAACTTTCGATCCTCTTCCTCGAGTGCCGGCCATTTTCGCTTTGTTTACACTAAGAAGAACCTTTTTCACTCTCCTTTTAACAAATGCAAACTTTTCCGCAGTTATAGCTAAGTCTTTGACACGCTTGAGCGCTTTGTCTTTTCACCTCCCCCCCTTCTTTTTAAAGACACAGTTCGATTTGTTTGCGTCTGGGATCCCTCCCGACGCCGCTTAGGTGGGGGGGGGGGGTAACTCACTTTTAGCACTTATTCGCTCGGTTTTTCCTCCGGTTCATTGCCGATCTGATCCCAGATCTCTTTTATTTTCGCTTCATTCGCTGACCTTCTTGCTTGTCCCGGCTGGCGTCAGCTGTGCTCGGTAAAAACCGAGCCTCGTAGGGGGAGGACCGAATGGGGCAAAAAGGAGCGCCTCAATTCCCTGGCTTTCTGCCATGGAAGAGGACGCCTCTCACGCGCCCCCGGCTTGGAGCCTCTCGACTGAGGCTCACCTGGGGGTGTCACTTGAGGTGGCACCCCTCCTACATGCCTCCCCAGCTTCAGGGGAGAGCCTCCGCCATCGCCGAGCCACAGACCGGAAGTCCATCGCTATCCCAGTTTCTAAAGGAATTGCCTACTTTCATGGAACGTGAGGTGGGTGCCACGGGGAGCAGTGCTCAGAAAAGGCACAGGTGGTAGATGGAAGAGCCACATGTGTGGCTCCTGAGCCACTGAGTAACACTGAGCACTCCTGAGGATTTAAGTAGACCAACTTCTCCGCTCCACCACCCTCAATAAAACAAAGCAGAAATGACCCCCTTTTGCAGAGAGGGAGGCGGTGACCTTGGCATATCTGAATATTGCTGTAACTTCACTTCCTTAGCCCATGTTTGGGAAGGGAGGGGCAGGAGGGTGATTGGCAGCTGAACCTTGCATGATTTATTTATTGTATTATCTACTGATTAAAACATAACTATTTAATATATTTATTAACCTAAACATGATATGTTAATATAAAACATTTTTATTCTGCCTTTCCTTGTGATTCAAGAGATTCCACCTCTTCCATTTTGCCAGCTCTCTCCCACTTCTCTTTATTTACTACTCTGCACCTTGGGGATACGCCATCTATAAAACGGCAGTAATAATAACTTCTAAAAGTGCAGTTCTGCGGTAGCCTGCAATAGGCATGAATACACACATACACACGTTCCCTGAATGGTCTTCCTGAAACAAATTAAATAAATTCCCAGGCTTCAGGTAGAAAGAAGCAGGATTCCAGCAGGGACCTGATCACCCCCTTTGTTATGCCAGCTGCAATATAGTCTTCTGCTGCCATCCCTGGATACACAGACGGTCCTCTCTGATCCCTCTCCTCATCTGCCCTAACAGGTTGTCGCTTTGGGAGGACTGGCGTGGTCTGCGCGATGAAGAGCTCTCCCGAGTCAGCGGGATCTCCGATTGCATCTTCGTGCATTCCAGCGGCTTTATTGGCGGAAACCACACCAAAGAAGGGGCGCTGGAAATGGCCCGGAAGACGTTGGCACAGCAGATGGAAACCAATGCATGCAGCTCCTGAAGACCGCATGACTGGACTTGTACGGGGATTATTTGTTGTGTGGCATTCCTTATAAACTTTGGTTTTTCAAAATACGTTTTCCTTGTGTGTTTGTGGGGTAGAGGGCAAGGCCCATAGCTCAGTAGTAAAGCCATCTTTTCCCCATGCAGAATGTCCCAGGTTCAATCCTTGACCTCTCCATTTAAAAAGGTTAGGGAGGAAGTGATAGAAGAACGTGAAGAGCTGCTGCCATTCGTAGAGGGCAGTACTGACCTTGATCGTATAAGAGGGCTGTGTGGGTACAGAACGATGCTCAAGTAACGAGGCAAAGCTAGCACAGGGCAGCAACAAATAAAATAGATAGTTGGGGAATAGGCTAGGAATTGACAGAAGAGTAGCTGTCATTCCCAGAATCCTCTGCAAAGGATTTGAAAGGCACATGGGAAGTAGTTGGCATGTGTCGAAGAGAAGACCGGCACCAAGTCATATTGGAAGCCCATTGGTATCAAACTGGCAGAAGATGGAAAATATATGAAGGAGTTGCACTGTGTATACCATGCCTTGAGAGAATTAAAATTATGCCTCTGGGCAATCAGAAGGTCCAAGATCTGAACAAATTGTGCCGATGGATATAACTTTGCCATTTTCATAATTTTCCTGCATTTTATTCTGGCCGTGAAAGATGTGAGGAGTTATGCATGGGCTATCCTGATGAAATCCCTAACTCAAGTCATTTCAGTCCAGGGCTAAGACACTTAATGTTTGATCTACTTTTCCATGGGTGGGAACTAGAGCGAACATGCGCTTCTAGTGTTTCCCAAATGTGTGATGACCATTATTCCCACCCCCCTGGTTTAAAATTGGAAGCACACCCTGGTTCTTCTTAGATTAATATTGAGGTTTCCTTGTTCCTCAATTTGTGTACTTCTTCACGAGTCAAAAAATCTGGCTGTGCCTTGCAGTTGTATAGGAGCAAACCTAAAGCAGTGGCTGTCGTGGAGAGGTAGCCTCTTTTTAGTGCTGTGAACCCTTTGGAGCATTTATTGCACCAGACAAATGTTTTTGGATAGAAGTTGCTCTAGCCCTGCTTCTTGGAATGCCGGGGGCTGAGGCTGTAGTGCATACAAAGGTGGTCTTCTCCCTGACTTAGGTACCTGTCTTTTCCTGGGCAAAATATGAGTGAGGTAGCATCCCTGTTGCAGTAGCTAAAGTTTGAAAGTGTAGAAAAGTAGCGTAGTAATTAGAGACCTGGGTGATGATGACCAGGGAGACCCAGGTTCAAGTCTCCATCTAGCCATGAAGTTTGCTAGGTGCCCTTGGGACAGTCAGTCTCCCCAATGAACCTTCCTCCCAGGCTTGATGTAAGCATAAAGGGGTGTTTTTTTTTGGGGGGGGGGCATACACAACTCTGCACCCCTTGCAGGAAGAGCTGCGATGCAATTAACAAGCTTTCTGGTTGCACATATCAAGCTCAAGAGCAGCGGCATATTTAGAAGGCTGCTAGAGGCCCAGGCTGAGACCAGCCTTGTAAGTTTTCTTCAAAGGAAGCGGTGGCGCAGGGAGCAAAAGCACCTGCCTTAACATCTAACGAACAGCTTGTAGGCTGTTCGATACCCACCGCGGCCAGGTTGAGCACCCGGCCCTAGTCCCAGCTCCCGCCCACCCAGCGGTTCGAAAGTCATAACAACTTACGAGTAGATAAATGGGTACCTGCCTTAGAAGGCAGGGAGCACCCTCCTCCATTGGGAGGTGAGGTGGGAACCTCAGCAGCGACGGTTCGGCAAGCGGCGGTGGCAGCAGCGGAATGGCGTGTAATGGCGGCGGTAGTCGAGGCAGTGAGCGGAAGAAAAAAGACGCGACATCTAGCGGTAAACCGGCGGCAAAGGTGGAGCCCGGAAGGCATGAGGACGCTCGGCGCAGGCGCAGCGGAGCCTGAGGGACGGAGCCAGTGCTGCGCTGATGCGATCAGCATGACGAATGGGCCCGCCAACTCCAAAAGATCTCCCGAGGAGCCTGAAGAGAGTGGAGGGAAGATGCCGACCCGAAGACGAGAAGACGAGACGAGCTGAAGACACGTCAACTGAATCCCGCCAGGTGCCGTTAGGTAGTCCCGCCCCTAATACGATATATATATGTGCCCATAGATAGGGATAATACAAACTATGTAAGCTGCTCAGAGACCCATGGGAGGGGTTCGAGCGGGGTAGAAGTTGAAGGTAAATAAAAATAAAATAAAAATAAATAAACAAGTTTGAGAGCAGGAATTTTTATATCTAGAATGTTAATGGGGTTATAAAACCAGCTGGTTTTGTAGGAGAGAGATATATAGGTATAGATTGAGGGCAGAAGCTTAGATGAGGTTGAGGAAGGAGTCAGTGTGAGGCCGGGAGCCCCATCAGCTGCTTTGTTTGCTGTGCCCCATAGCGATTCTGGTTTTGGGGGGGGGGAGAAATGGGGAGAAAGTCTGCCTCAAGGAAGTGAATGATCACAAATTTCATTCCTCTACACTGCAATTGAAACCATCTGCAAAGAAAGGTGAGGCTTTGAAGCATTTCATAGTTCTGTAGAAAAGGAAATTTGGGCAGGGATGGCCTTTTCACATCCCATCAGCACTGTCTAGTCTAAGAGCCTATAGTCTGGTAATTTACTTCACAAGACACAAAGTCTAGTCAAGCGTCAGGTCAAGCATCTTAGAAAGTGATTAGGCATCTTAGAAAGGGGTGGGTAAACCACCAGTCTTATGAGGAACTGCTTGGGTATTTGGGGTGGGGGAGGTCATGTATGCGCACACCCATACTCTGGGACCCAACATACCTCCTAAGGAATATGCTCATTTGAATAGGTCATATTTTTGTGCTTTAAAGTATCATTGCAAAGAAGAAGCCTTCATAGGTAAATTGGAATAGAGAGAGGGGTACTTTTCCCAGCATTAAATAATTAGATTTGAGGGTAAAGCTTTCATTGCCCGAAAGCCAGTCGAGTCCGACTCTAGGGTTGCGGTGCTCATCTCCGTTTCAAAGCCGAAGAGCCAGCGCTGTCCAAAGACGTTTCCGCGGTCATGTGGCCGGCATGACTAAACACCAAGGCGCACGGAATGCTGTTACCTTCCCACTGAAGTGATACCTATTTATCTACTTGCAATTTTTGCTTTCGAACTGCTAGGTTGGCAGGAGCTGGAACTTGAGACGGGAGCACACTCCGTCATGCGGCACACTCGGGTCCCAAACTGCTGAACTACCGACCTTCCACAGCCTGCAGTTCAGCATCTTAACCACTTGAGCCACCACAGCTCCTTAGATTTGAGGTCAGGCCTATGTAAAATAGCTTGGATATTTTATAGTGTAGGCAACTGATCTCTCTGAACTGGCACCAGGTTCATCAGTATTGCTCACAAAGTAAATACTGGGTGCTGAAGAGATGTATAGGGCTTAAACATACTAGCCTTTGTAGTTTTGGGGAGGCCCCGCCCTCAACTGTTAATAAATGCAGCTTTCTGAGGTAAATTATTCAGCAAGTGCTCCAGTATGACAGGCATCCTGTACCTAAATTTTCTCTGAAGAAAAGAGCACCTTTATCCACAGTGTTGCCAACTTTTTAGGAGGACGTTGCTGAGGAAATCACATGCAGAGGTAAAATTGATTCCACTGCTTCTGCCTGAAGGTGGTAGATTCAAGTTTGGAACATTCCTTCACATTAAAAAAAAAATCCCCACCAATAGAAAACTAGCCCAACACAGAGAGGTTCGATTTCCCCTCTCTTTGCTTGCTGTGCTGGTTTTCCATTTCCAGGGACTTAAAAAAAACCCAACAGATGTGAGAGTTCCAAAATGTGACCCACCATCTGAAGCCAGATGTGCCATGAATCCTTTCTACCACTTCGGCATCCTGCCCCCCTCGATCTCTTCCTCATATTAATCTGGCCTTAGCAGAAAGAGCACTGACAATTTCTGGGCTCTCTTGAGTAGAACTGAATTATACAAACATAAAAATATCCCTGCCTGCCACTCCTCAGATAGGCCAGCAGGGGCAGGCGATGTCTCTTTCTTTCAATTGCCAGCATTAGCCTGTGAAAGGGTCCCTCCGTCTCTCAGTTCTTTCACTGCTGGGCAGGAGGCAGAGGCACTGAGCCAGTGTGGACGCTCTCTGAGAACTCCGTTGCTGAGGCTTGCCAGCTCCTGTGCCAACCTGAGGAAGCCAGACAGAGGCCGCAGGAGAAGCTGAGATGTCCCTCGGAGCTACTCTGCTTTACCTGCATCAGCGAAGACGACCGGCTAGCGTAGCGGCATCCCCCCAGGTGTGTTTGGAGTAGGGAGGTGGGTGAGGACTGAGCGCGGGGTTGCCATCTTTTTAAAAATCAGTGCTTCTCTGTCTTTAGCAGCAGACCCTAGCATGCAAAAAATCCATCCACTTATCCTTAAACACGTCACCTGTTCGATGGCCCTTTTTTGTGCCATCAGGTCACAGTGGCTTGTGGTGACCCCGTGGGGTTTTCAAGGCAACAGACTGACAGAAGTGGTTTGCCATTGCCTGCCTCTGCATAGTGACCCTGGACTTCTTTGTTGGTCTCCCAGCCAAGGACGAACCTGGACTGACCCAGCATAGCTTCCGGGATGTGACAAGATTGGGCTAGCCTGGGCTGTCCAGGTCAGGGAGGTTCAATATCTACCTGCTGTTAAAAGCACGGGGGCATGGTCACCCATCGGAGGTTCAAGAACAGAGCTGTAGGGTTATCCTGGTGGAAAAGCCCCCCGCCCTACATTACTACTCTGCTGCAAAAGACACCGCCAATTTTTGGCCCCCAATATGTCCCACAAGGGTACTTGGGCAGCACTAAGAACCACAGGACAGGGGCATGGGGGGTGGGGGGTGAGGCAGACAGTTCCTACATGCATGGTCCCAGTGGCCAAAGAGCTGTTCGGTTTTGGAAAGCAAATGCTATTCTGGTTTGTGAGATCAGGCAGGGGTTAGGGTAGTTCCTCAGTGGAAGAATAGCCCTCTCTCTCTGTTTCTCATGTTGTGGAGTGGGCTGTCACTTTTGACAAAGGCCATGCAAGCTCCAG